TGTTGAATATTTTTGATCCATGGGGTCGCTAACCATTCACATTAACTTTAAATTCTGTTTAGACTGTAGGAGTTGCCAAACAAAAAACTATCTACTCTAAATTGCTCATGCCTCAACAAGGTATCTTAGTCTTATAGACAGATCATAAAGATAAATGTTATTCACTTAAAAAAAACTTTATTTTTCATGTTTGTTGCACTACCAGATAAGAATCCAGTTGCAATAAGTGATTTTAGAAAACACAGATGTCTTTTATAACTTAGCATAGTTGTTTCATCGAGAAGGAAGACTTTTCATGCAGGTATAGTGGACACAGTTAATGGGTTGATTAGATGATACATTATATGCATAATACACTGTGTAACAAAAGACTCAATAAAATTTTTCTATTGATATTACTAACTGTTTCACAGTTATTATTTGCGAATTTCCTGTTGATAATTTTGTTAAATACCCCTCATTTTGCTTATCTGTTACCTGATATTTGTTTGTAATTTTAAAATAACTTTACTATTGGTGTTTTTGCACACTCTCGGTGCCGTTGCTATCTTTTGTTTTTCCCACTACTCCTGAAGGCTAGATTTTCATTGGCTGTTAACTACTCTTAACTAATCAGCGAATTTAGTGTTTGTCAACGTTATTCACAAAGTATATATTCAACGTTGCTTTCAACTGTTTTGACTGCTGTTGAAATAGTAAAAGCTCTATGTCAACGGGCTGTCTTCTCTTGTTGTCTTCGCCTGCCGACAGTACTGTTGTTGCGGTGGCTGACATTGCGACTAGCGATTAAGGTAGATTTTTTGTGCATTAGGTTCATACTGCTGGTAAAATTCACGGTTGCATTACTAGTCATAGAAAATGTCAGTAAGTCAGTTGAAAAAATAGATGTTGGCTACCATTTTATTACTTTATGGGATTTTTATCGATGTGAATGTTCATATTTACTGCGTTTTACTTTTGTAGATCTGATGAAACAAACAAGACGGATAGGTATTCGTATTGTTACTCTTTCGAAGAATATAAACCTGACACCAAACTTTCTAGCAAATACATTTAAGCTTATGACAAATAGTCATGGTAAGCTAACGTGCAATTAGAATTTTCATCGCGAAGTAATGAAATATACATGTGCGCATGGTTTGACCCAATATGTTACCTTCTTCATCTGGCGAAAACTCACAAATTCCTCAAAAATATCTATGCTCAATGAATGTATGGTTCAGAGGCTATAACGGGAACTGATAACACGTTTTCTTGAGTTATTAATGAAATTTCCACGCGGAATGATTTCTCTCATGCTTTAAAATTCTTAGGGATCTTCAAATGTTTTCCGAATTCCGCTGGTCAACTGACAACTTAATCTGAAAATAGCTCTCATGAGAGGTTGTACATTAATTGCATTTCTTAAGACCGAAATTTTACTCAGCTGTAGGCTATAGTGCTACGATAATTTTCTTATTTTAAATATTTTATTGCTCTTTCTCTGTCTACAGAGTACAGTTGATCCGATGGACTTAGCGTTTTTAGATCTGTGGATCCTGATAAACTTAATCAGAGAATGAATAGACATCAATAATCAGTAAGTTATAAAATTCTTCCACCATATAAAATTCTAACTCTACCGTTCACGTCAATGAAATTCACAAAATTATAAGTTCATCACAGGAAAACAACAGTCAACTGTGGTAATGAATTAGTTAAGGCAATGGCTTTCATGCATAATGGGCATATATGTCTTGTATCACTCTTTCAAGTATACCTAACAGTGGAACTCATTTTCACATTTCTTCACTGTGTTGATAGAAGTGAGCATTGAATTCTTTAGGTGAAAATATGCGTTAAATATAAGCGTCACATCCATTTTAAACACACATTACAACAGCTCGGTGTCGTAAATCAATTATGAGAATGCTAGACCATCAACCAGGATGACGTAGGTTCAAATTGTTTTGCCAACTAAGCTTCTATTTCAAATTTGACTGTCAATCCCTGTCAGTAGTACCAGTTTGCAAAATCACTGTCATCTCAGATATTCTAATTTCAAAATTAAATGCAAGCGTCTACAACTTTCATGCATATATCATTTTTCTGAATCACTTTTATTGCTAATAACCACTACTGTATAGCGGTAAGTTACTTGTATTCACATAGTAGCAGGATACTGAATAAACGAAAGGACTAGTCAAAGTAGAATGAAGTTAACAGTTTCACTCCTTCATGTATGAGATTTGGACATTATTGAAAGTTATTTTGGTTACTGGAAAGTAGGCATTTTTGTCACGATTATTAAGAATCCATTATCAAACGGAGTACACATATTTGTTCATAACACTTTAGGGCTATAATATGTGTTGTTTATTATCTCTCTGCCGTCATCTGTGCTACCTATAAAGTTGATATATGCTATCACCTTCCAAGTTAAAGTGTGCTGTATACTGGTATATGAAGAATTAAGAGTAAAGTGAGACTTACGCGGTGTCAATGAATGTAGTGATATATATATATATATATATATATATATATATATTGCTGACAAATAAGCCAGCGAATTCAAATACCTGTGGGTGAAATAGTTATTTGAACTATCAATCGAGGTATATTGAATAAGTGAAGAAAAGGAATCATTCATAAATCTAAATCGACGGAAGTATATCGAGCAACAAAATCAATTCCCTTGCCAAAAAACTTCACTGTCAACCAGAATCTATGGATACGACCAAGATACAAAAGAAAGTGAGGAAACATCGTTTATCTAAAATGTTAAGCATTAAATCTAATCTTTTTCTGTTCACTTTTTAAGAAAGCATTCAAAAAACAGTCAGTTAAGATATATCACTTGAAATATTTGACTTATACGTCAGATATAGATGTATAAATGACACATTTTCCATGAATATAGATACAGTATTACTTTGGTTATGATTACACATCAGTTATGTATGAAAAATGTCAGAATTATCTATCCGTTATCATCAGTCTTCCACACCTCACTTTGATTAATTTCACTGAACACATTTGTTGTCTCGTCATTGTAAACTAACGATACACACACTAATGACTGATACGCAGGAAATTCCCTTCCAGGCATTTAAAATAAAAGAGTGTTTATCAGTAAGTGGGAAATAATGACTCCTTAGACCTTTTCTTACTGCTTACGGTGTAATATCAAAACTCGATGACTTCATATTACCACAGAGGGAGAAAAGCTATTATGAATCCATAAAAACACAGGGGGACTTTCACCGTTATTACGAACAAGTTAGAAAGATTTAGTTTAATATAACTGTAAAACCTGGTCACCGTGGTGGAATATACTTCCATATTGGATTTGTTTATTTGGTACAGCACACAGTAATCTAGTAAATAATGCTGTTGATGTGTGCTACATTAAATAGATGAATTTAATATGGAAGAAAGATTTTCATTTTCCTCCCGTGATAAGGATATGCTCTAAGGATTAAATCCACTACGAACAAAATGAAAACTAGAAGAATTAAATATTTTTCCCGTCAGAATTTAGGATTTATAATTAGCACTGACTCACAACCCTGTGAAAGGTTCAACCCGGGATCGTCAGGTTTCATTGCAAGCTTGTTACTGTTCGATTGCTTCTAAGATCCGCCTGTTCATATCCCTGAATTCTGTCCAGTTGTGATATATTGTGTGACTACCATGTAATGAGCATTTGCCTTGCACCTTACTTAATTAGCCATACAGATAAAGTTATCTTGCTATAACTGCAAGACGTTTGCATTGAAAGATAAGGGGCTCGATACTTAAACTTATACTATTGGTTTAGACTTCTAGCTAGAGTATAAACAGATGTCCAATGGCTTCAGGTTTCGTTTGATTATCATTAACTGACATTGAACATCACTTCTTACAAGTTAGTAAGTTTCAGCCAACTCTCAGAGTGATGGCCATGAGTGTGAGATTATCATTTTAAAATTTTCTGTTTGTGAGTCAAACTTCACTGAGATAGTAAGTGAACAGTCTATACAATCATGACCTTTAGTTCACGTTTGTATACAACTTAAATTTAGCTGCAAGTGATTGACATACATCTACTTTCTAGGAAAAAAATGTTGACAGGAGAGTTGATTAAGACATCAAAAGCAACATAAAATCAGTCGTGCATACAAAGAGTACACCAGAACAAATGAGTCATTTCAGTACTGTGAGGCAAGCTAATCGAAAATTGAGAGAGATTCGGAGACTGGTGACGAATTGAAATTGAGTCTATGAATATAATATTTTGGTTAAGTTGAACCTCCAGTTGTTGGTCCGACTGCTTGTTGCTAAGTAGTATCTCTTTAGGTTAATCTGTTATATGGAAACCATTGTGACTAAGGAAAACGCACTTCAGCACAGTCAGTTATTGATTTTAATTGTTTTAACTCTTAGTAAAGATGAGATTATTTTACAAATAAAACTAAATTTGAGGTTATACTTTAGGCGGAAAATCATCTCGTAGCGTCCTGTACAATATACATATTAAGGACACATCGAAAACCATAACATTTCCTCGATATTGCGCCCAAGTTATAGAAATGTCCTTAAAACTAGATCCTTTTGTTGTCAAGTAAGTAATTCTTGCTCTACAGAACTATTTTATTTCTTCACAGTACTACCATGCAAGTAATTTGTTTAAATAAAAAAAGAAGGAGATTTAATTAAAAGGTTAATTTATATTATTTCAATTTTTGAACATATGTCGCTTCAGTTAAACACAGTTATACATTTATTTCAACATAAGTTAAAGATATATGAAATTAGTTTTTCGAAAACCAATCAAATGTATTGCTTGAAAGTGGTGACATCCATTTAATCTAATTTCACATTGGGGAAAGTGTATTCTTCATCATTTGTACTATCATATTCATTCATATATACATATGCAGTCTAATTGGTTCATATATTTGGGTTTTATGCCAAGTATAACCAATCACATAACTCAATGAAACAAATAGAACCGATTTCCTGAAGCATCTCTATTACTAAATGGTATTTAAGTAGGATAATTTTAATGATTAATCGGCAATATCATGCAACACTTTCCTAAGCGTAAAATGTAATCATCACTCGGATAATTAAAATATGCACTAATACACTTTTTTTTAAACCAGAAAAATGTCATCGGTAATGCCTTTCTTGTCACACACGTACTTAAAATTCTCATATATACTATTGCTTATTTGTGTTATAAACATTTATTGCTTGGATGTATTGAAGAAAACAAATAATGATTTAAGTAAGTTTACTTTTCATTTAAAACACGACAAACTGCTTTGTACAATTATATACCACAATTTGAAGATTATCTGTTTATCTAATGTATTTTATTTTACAAAATTTGGAATCTGATGGTGTCAAATGGATAAGCAGAATGGATTCCACTTGTGACTACCAAAATTATTGTATATCCGCAACAAAAAACTCCTTAATTTGTCACTGGTCACTAATTTATATTCTGTCAATGCCGACAGAGTTCTATACAGTTTGTTTTGTATCATAGGCACTAAATGACTCAATAGTGTGGTAGACTGCATCATAAGCTATCCAATTTAAAAGTGATTCCCCGAAATTTCCAGGCCTCAGTTTCACATCCGGTGTCGATAATTCAGTCTTGTCTACCACACTTGCTTTCTTCTACATCCAAGAGAAGGATCTGAACTCTAAATGTTGACCATAAGTATAATAAAACAAGTTACATATTTCAAAAATAATAGGATTCACAGCTTTTTATAAACCAGTAAAAACAGTAGATGAATACTTTCAGAACAAATATTTAAGTGAGACAAACTTGAAGGATTCACCACAGACATTTATAACTGCAGTAATTTTACAGAATCAAAGTGGTTTCATTGTTTCACCATATATTCTTCAAATACCCACATTTCAGATTCGACTATACCTAAACCCACCTAATAGTTTTTATCTTCCAACAACTGTAGTGAATGCAAAATGTTCGATTTGAATATCATTTAGAAATCCTGCATCATCGAAATCATTCCTAACCTAAAAAGATAAATTTTGTCAGTTTACTGCAGATACCCTTTATTGGTATGAAATAATTTTGAGGCTAAAGTCCAATTAAATACAAGAAAGATACTTTTTGTTTAGTTAACTAAGAAAGTCAGTCATATCATACAAAAAACAACACGTTTAATTGTCACTAACGAAAATATACATGGGTGCATTTGTGATAATAAATATTCTAAAGTACACTAGTATATAATAAATTGGCTCTATTTGAGCTTACTGTACAATATAATAACATTTGATTCTATAGTACATGGAATCTATAATGAAATAAATTATTTCAGGTACACTAACGCATTAGATGAATATCCACGACAGTATATGGCGCTGTAGTTGAGTCAGTATGTGTACAATCCTTGCCTAATGTTAGTTAAATTCAGAGAATGGTAATAATAATAAATAACACAAAAACTGTTATCACTCGGATTTTACGAAATTCATTTCATTTATGAGTAAAATTATATATTTATTTACATAAAAAATTAATGTATGCACATTTTGACGCATTTATTACTAGACATCACAAAGGCGACTTTAGCCATTAACAGATAAAACAACCAGTGTAAATAACTGCAAATAAGTATGACACGTTAGCTCAGTAAAACATGTTTAAAATCATATTGTGTTCAATGATGACCATCAATTGAATCTAGTATAGCTTTTCACGAGACTCATTTGCCTAGCATTTTTGCATTGGTATTAGCGTTCTATATGAAATGGAATCCCGCTTCCGCCTACGTAAACATACATCTTCACTCAATATAACATTTGTTTATTTTATTTATAACAGTATTATTTACTTGGTGAAGTTTCGATCATAAATTACTACTGCTCATAATCATATCAGTGTAATCACACTACGTTTGACACCTGATTTTTATAGTCCTGTCACCTCTTATTCTAACTTTGTATTGATAATAAAATTTTCCATATCTCTGGTATAGGTGTTCCGTCATTTCCATTACATGTGATTCATCTTCACTATTAGGCTAATAATGAGTCAGGACAACCACTTTTTACGCCCTTAGACTGAATTCGATTATAAGTTCGAGTTTTTCTTGAAAACGTTTCAGAATAACACAAGTGAGAAACGCTTTTGTGTGCAGCTAACCAGTTTTAACGAATTTTTAACAAGTAATATAAAAATTACAATTTTCTGAAGTTAGCAGACATATATCTGAAACATGAAACGAAGTCAATAAAAGCTTATTTGACCGACCGAATTTCCTTAGTAATGATATCTATTGTTACTGAAATGTTATTTTTTGCCTTCGTAGTAATATTCATCAAAATACTTAGCTGTATAACACTAAATATAAGCTGCTAGCACGATATAATATGAATTTCATTTGTTTAAATATTAAATAATAAAACTTCCAGAAGCACATATCTTTTAGAGAGAACTATCAATATTTATGAAGAAAACATTTTTACCCCCAACCTCAGAATCATATTCTCTGGTCGGAAACTTATTCATCCGTATGCATACGATAAACTAGAGCATTGGGGCACACTAGTGTGTGTATATCAATTTACTTGCTCCTGTGGAGCCAAGCAACAGCTTGTGAAACGTGCTGGCGAATATTACCCAACTTGGCTGAAGACTGGAGAAAGGAAGTCCATCTTCAGCTCTGTAACAGAACACTTAGTAGTAAACTCAGAAAACTTAGCCCCTTTTGATAAGTCCTTCAAAGGCTTTCATAAAGTGCGATTAAGCCACTCAAAACAAGTGACGTCAAGATATTTAGGCATAGCTGAAACACTAGCTGTTCAAAAATGTAAACCATCAGTGCGCATTGAAAAGAAGTATGTACAACCTCTTTCCTTGCCATGAACATCATAAAAGGGTGATCACTCTAGATAGTTCTCTCATGACACAGCTATATTTTGTTTCGTAATCAAATTGTTTAATTCCCCTTTTTAAACATCCACAGATATTACATGACTTTCCTTTGTTGCGTGGTTTAAATTGACCTTTGACCGGAGACTACCTTGGAGTTTTCTGTCATTTCTACTATATGTTCGCGAGTGGATACCTAAGAGAATGATTTCTTCAAAAGGAAATTTTTCGCTTCACTGGAGTCGTCTTTTTTTCAAAATACCGTGAATTTAATAGCTAGACACAAATGAACAAAGTATACTAATGAAGATAAATAACAATAATAATAAGCTTATATTTTATATTTGAAACATAACTATTTATAAATAACCAATAGCAAGTAATCAAAGGACCAAACAATGGAAATGATATTTCTCTCTAAAATAAGTTTGAACACTTAACCAACAATAGAAAAGTAAAATACAAATGATTAAACAGTAACTGAATAAAACTGTGTTATTTATTACGTCTCGTTTTTCTGACAACCAATGTGCCAATACTGACTGTCGATACTTAAATGTATTTGCATTGGTTAAACAACCACTAAGTATTTAAATATAATGTGGAAAAGTGCTGATTTGCTCAGACTGTTGAAATTGACTTTTGAAAAGTATTTGTTAGAAGAAGGATTAGTATGTTACTTAATCAAGGTTTTTCATAACTAGCGATGAGTTAAATCTGATTAATACACTATTTCTAGGATTTTCATATACTGAGTAGTAGATCTGTATCAGTAGACAATGATAAAGTCTAACTACAGCCGCTACTCAGTGTTTGGTCTTAGGTGGCTGAAGACAGTCGTTATAGATCCATGAACTCAAATGATGCGCTTTAAACATCTCTTCAGCAACACATATCCACAAGTAAGGTTTGCTTTAGAATTTAAGCCTATCTTACCCACTGATACAATACAATTAAGAGCATTACAACATGAAAGCTACATTGAAAAGTAGGTAGATGACTAGACAACATAACACTAGCTAAATAAACTTTGTTTTCACTCCTTACTAAAAAATCCCTTCTGGCTTCACACAAATGTGTGTCGAAGCAAGTGTGCTCTGCATATACTTTCAGAATGAGTAAAAGTAAGGAATAATGTTTTAACGATATACAAATGAAGAATTTAATTGAAACGTATGAACGCAAAGATGTTAGTAAAGCAATCCATTTCTTTAGCTCCAAACTAAGAAATACATTATTTCCAATAATTACCAAATTTACTAACTTTTGTTGCCTATTTATAACTTCTGTTTTACCTTAACAATAACTACCATCAATTTGTTCCACGTAAAAAAATTCAGCATCTAACTAAGTGTAGAGTAATTTTAATTGAAATCAGTTGCGTTAAAGGGAAGCCATTCAGCATAATTCCACTCCTCTTTGACCAATGCACTAAGTTTTCCTAGTCATAAAAGTGAATATGTATATATAAATATATAAACAGAGATCGTACACCTGTTTCTACGTGTACGCACTGTGGAGACAATAATGATATAAAATTAATTCCTCTTTTCCTATAAACACAGATATTCTAACTTCAGTGGTACCCAACTAAACCCTAAAAGAACTTGCATTTCTTCTGTACTTGTAAATTTATCAGTACTACTAAAGGTGTAGTTCAACATTTTAATTTGGTGGAAGTAATGTTTTAATTCCACCCGGTTGTAAAAGAAGATACTGAATAGTAGTAATTCACGAGTCAACATGAGTTAGATATTTAAACAAGCTGTCGTTCTTGGTAGTTAATATCTTTACTTATTTTACCATTTATTTCATCCTCCGTCACTTTTGAATCCAGATTTATCCCAAAAGTTGCTTGACAAAATTCAGTAGATTGTCCATAGAAATTCATATCAATTAAAATCTGTTATTCAGATATTTTTGCAGGATGCTGAGGTAGAAATGTCACGGTGGTTAAAGTGAACTGTGCTAAAATTATTTTTTGGAAAATTCAAAACAATGATCTTGTTAGTTTAGTAGTTTCACGTAAAAGACATTATAAACAGTTCACTCTGATAGACTTTAGCGTTTGATAATTATTGGTTATCATTACGGAAAAGCTACAAAGATGATATTATAGTCTACTCAATAAAGTTTTTTGACTACAGAAATGGAAAGCTGGTTAAGCCTAGGTGGAAAATAATGTGTGATGAGCTAATTACTATATAACAAGTGAGGTCATATTGTGAAGGACTCTACTGACCGACTGGATGATAGCGTGGCACCAGGTTTGATAGCCATCAGGAGTTTCACAAGGATTAAAGGTAAACTTGTGGAGAAATAACTTTGCTATGATTTCTGTCTATTATCTACAATTAGTTGACATGTAA